AGGGAGGAAAAAAGGGCGTTTGTAAGTTGCTCTTGAGGTCCTGTTGCTTCTACGGTAGGGCTGCTGTAGCCTACAGTGGGTGTCACGCCCTCAGGCAGGTTAAGGGAGCGAGGGAAGATACCCGACTTAAGACTGGTTAGTTTCTTAAGACACTCGTTACAACCGGCCCTATTGATGATGACTTTGCTGGACAGGATTTTCTCACTGATACAACTTTTTTATATTTAATTTAGGGGCGAACAGGAAAAGAACCTTTTTGCTTACAAATGATGGGCATGGACACGGTGGGCGGCATCTGTGGGCTGCCCAAGTTGCCAGCAATGCAACAAAGTGTAAATAGTTGGTACCGATCCTACTGTCAGAATGCAAGAAAGTGAATGTTGATAAATTTTGTTTATTTCGTATGGGTAACATTTTCATTGAATTTTCTGCAATGTGTTGAGGTTTCTCTTCTTTTTTTTCTTAGCTTTCTATTCAAAATGTAATTTTGTTGTGGAAGCTTTAACTTGCACCTTAAGCTAACTTGTAACTTGCTTTGTGAAGTTTGACTCTTGTTCATTCCATATGGCTAACATTTTCATTAAATTTTCTACAGTATTGTATTGTGATTTTTCTTTCCCTTGTCTTTTTTCTTTTTCTTTCTTTGCATTCTATTCAAAATGCATTTTGGTTGTGGAGATAAACTTGCAGCTTTGAGCCAACTTGTCACAAAATGTTCATGTTTTTGAAGCTTGAATCTTGCCCTGAAGAAAAAAGTTGGCTAATGTTAACACACAAGACCTCGTAATATCTCTTGCTTTGTCACTAACTCAGGAAGTAAAAGATAAATAAACAATGAAATGATGGTAGATATTGAGCAAGTGAAGTGGACAGCATACTCAATACTCTTAAGAAAAGACAGTCAGCCATACATATACTATTGTACCATAAATATAAGATATAGACAGATATAAGAAGGTACCGGTACATATAAAGTGACTTGAGTATTAGTGTAAGAGTATAACCATTGCTACAGTAACCAAGGCACCTCTCAAAATGATGAAACTATGATATATAGATTTTTGAAAGCATTTGATGAAACCTAATAATTGATTTGCTGTAAAAGCATGTGCATCCCCTGTGTAACATAAAATTTCTAAATAGAAATAGAATTATAAATAGAATTTTCAGCAGTTTTGAATAGTTTTTTTTTTTTCTTATATGGCCCATGTAATTAGTTGACAATAAGGCAATGAATTAATTTTCCAATAATTAGTATGAAAGATATAGTCAGATTTGGAATTAAATGAAAGCCTCTCATTGTATTTTCACAAAGCCCTAGCATCAGCAGTCATTTCTTTATTTCACTGACAAACAAATGCAGGTACCATCTCTTGACCAAGCAGTTGTATCATAACCCCTTTTGTCATTTGATTATACTTACATACATACATACATACATACATATACAGACATATACAGACATACATGCATACATATACATACATACATGCATACATATACATACATATACATACATACATACATATACATACATATACATACATACATACATACATACATACATACATACATACATACATACATACATACATACATAAATACATATAAACATACATACACATTACACAACATAGATTGATAGATAGATTAATAAATTTTGTGGTATATGTAAATTGTGTGGCTAAATTCCAATGCACCAAGAGTTGCCAAACCACAAGAAACAAAAAAATCGTACTGCCCCTTTTCTGGCAGGGTTTAGTTGACTAAAAATAATACAAAATGGTGTATTACCTATTTATGTGAAATGATATTTACAAATCATTTTGAAGTGTTTAGAAAACGGTGGGATGACACTGAAAATGGAACTTTCTCTTGCACTTGGGCAAAAAATAGAAACACAGAAAATATGTAATTTTGACATTATCCTTCATTTTGGCTGCAGCTACCATTCCCCTCTCTCTCTCTCTCTCTCTCTCTCTCTCTCTCTCTGTCCTTCTCTCTCTCTCTCTCTGTCCTTCTCTCTCTCTCTCTCTGTCCTCTCTCTCTCTCTCTCTCTCTCTCTGTCCCTCTCTCTCTCTCTCTCTCTCTCCCTCTCTCTCTCTCTCTCTGTCCCTCTCTCTCTCTCTCTGTCCCTCTCTCTCTTTCTCTGTCCCTCTCTCTCTTTCTCTGTCCCTCTCTCTCTTTCTCTGTCCCTCTCTCTCTTTCTCTGTCCCTCTCTCTCTTTCTCTGTCCCTCTCTCTATATATCTGTCCCTCTCTCTCTGTCTCTCTTTCTCTCTCTCTCTCTGTCTATCTTTCTCTCTCCCTCTCTCTCTCTTTCTCTCTCCCTCTCTCTCTCTCTCCTCTCTCTCTCTCTCTCTCTCTCTCTCTCTCTCTCTCTCTCTCTCTCTCTCTCTCTCTCTCTCTCTCTCTCTCTCTCTCTCTCTCTCTCTCTCTCTCTCTCTCTCTCTTTCTCTCTTTTTCTCTTTCTCTCTTTCTCCTCCCCCTCCCCTCTCACCTCCCTCCCTCAATCTCAGTCAGTCATTTTTACCATATTGATTATGCAGATGTCCAATATTAGATGACTTGCAAAGTTTCTTCTCAAAAAGATAAAAAGCTGATGTCATTTCTGTCATTTACAAGGGTTGGCCATGCATAGAGTAGGGCTTTAAAGAGAGCATCTTGCATTTCTGCAGTCAGTTACTTATAAGGGACCCAAAGGAACAAGTTACTAGCAGTGTCTCATTACTCTTTACAGATAATAAGGATGGGCCTCTTGTATAATTTGTGGGACACAGTATGGACCTTCATTACTTTATATGCCTTGGGAGCTTGGTATCTGCTGAAGGAGCTCTTCTCATCTCACAAAAAGCCTTCAGGTCAGTAAGCTGTTTATGCTTTTGTACAGAGCATTTCCTTTTGTAAGTTCTATATTTTGTTTATTATTATTAAAGGGCCATAATTATGGAGCAAAGGGGGAACTTTTGCAGCTCAAAAAGGTTTATGTTCACTGAGATTAAATCTGTTGTCGAAGATATGCATTCACTAATGATACACAAAATGCATGGATGTATACTTTTTATGTACTTGTACATAGAATAATAATCTTTTGTAGTATGTTCTTTGGTGTTAAAGCTTAGCTAGCAGAAATTGACCCAATCAGTGTATTCTCAGGTAGTTTTTTATCTAATTTATGATGAAGATTTCTACTCCATATATCTGGTATGTTTATTACCTTCAGGGTGTATGGATTTGTATCATAAGTAAAAAAAAAAAAAAAGATTAATGTTGTGAATATTATCTCATTCTCATTTACAGGAATTTTGAATCAAAGCGGGCGCGTAGCTATTGTGACTGGCGGAGGGCGAGGCATAGGTTTGGAAACTGTGCAGCAGTTTCTTGACCTGGATATGACAGTTATTATTGGTATGCAATATTTAAAGAATTATCAATGGAGTTACCATAGTATAAAGTATAAGTATAGTATAATATAAAGGATGCAGTAGAATGCATAATCCTTCTCCCTTAATACTGGCATAGGTAGAAACAAATTGTAATACCTCAAGGTTTTTGTTACCCATGAATAATGAACAACTGCAGATGATGCTGATGTTGATGACTTATGAATAATATGAGCAGTAGAATCTTACCTTCAGCTGTATTGGTAATAGAATACTGACATGATTGTGAAACATAGATATACATTGTTAAAGGATGACATTTTACTTGTCAACAGACTGGCAAAAATAGAAACAGTTGTTGTTAAGAAATTTCAGATTTTGGTAAATGACATAGTCTGACAAGTAATGTCAAAATAATAGCTATCTTTTACATGAACGAATGTTAGGGAAATTGTCTTGTAGTATTGAGTATCTTTAATTTGCTTCCAGGTGGGAGAAATGTGTCAGAGATTGAGAAGGATTTGTCAAAAAGGAGAGGCAGTAACAAAGACGTAGGGAAAGTCATATGCTTAGACCTAGATTTGGCAAGTTTAACCTCCGTGAGAAGATTTGCTGAGGCTTTTAAGGCTCTTCGACTTCCTTTACATGTACTGGTTAATAATGGTAAGTTTTGTGATGTAGTTTTAAAGATTGCAAAAAAAACTGGATTCACGGTCTTGGTATGAGGAGACCAGGCTTTCATATATCTTATTGAATATTTTACGAGGATGGATGGATTTTTTTTTTTTTTTTTTTTTACATTAAGAAAGATCATACTGATGTACAAACAAAACTGCAAGGTAAATTATTGGTATTATCCAGAAAAGCACTCTGATTCATCATACACAGTCATATCTCAAATCAAAGCAAAGATTCAGTATTAATGATTCTTGATATACTTCTAAGTGAAACAGAGACATTGATACGCCTTCCAATTGAAATGCGAGGATAACTATCAAATTTGTAGCATTTATTTCCTTTATCTACAGCTGGCATTATGTTCTGGCCGCTGGAAATAACGGAAGACGGCTTTGAGTCTCACTGGAGTGTAAATTATCTTGGGCATTTCTTATTGACCCAACTGTTGTGGCCAGTGTTGAAAGCCAGCTCTACTCCAGACAAACATGCACGTGTTGTCAATCTCTCGTCTTCGGTCCATTACCTTGGTTCAATAAATTTTGATGACATCAACAGCAAGTATGGATATCTAATGAATTTTAGATGTATTGGTAATAGTGTAAAAAGAATGAGGATAGTGAGGATAATAGTGATAAGTTAATATTAGTCAAAATATGTTAATACAAATATTTCCTATCTTCACAGAAACCATTACAATGCACAGACAGCTTATGCTCAAAGCAAACTAGCTCAATTGATGTTTACCAAGGAATTAGATGAACGGATTAGGGCAGCAGGAGAAAATATCACTGTTAATGCAGTGCATCCTGGAGTTGTGGCCACAGATCTATTCCAGCATGTGGCCTGGGCACGATACTTCCCATGGTTGGCCAGATCCTTTTTAAAGGTACAGTAATTCATAATTTTTGTATAAGACACAGTAAGTGAGGAGAATCAGTTAAGAAAGTATTGGAATTTAGAGAAAGAGAATATGAAAATGAGAGACTGCAGTGTTATTGAATTGTTTGCCATTAATTATATATTTTTTACCTTGCAGACTCCTAAACAAGGATCAGATACTGTGGTTTATGCAGCACTTTCCCAGCTAGTACTTGATGGTGGCCATTATTATGAAAATTGTACCATAACCCGTCCAGCTGTCATGAAACCCAATGATTTACGCCATCTCTGGGAAATCTCTTGTCAGCAGTGCAAAATTGTTGACTTTGGTGGTTTGTAAAGAGATAAGATGAAGTGAAAAGTTTGTTAATACTCTTTTATATAGAAATGTGGTATGGTTGAAATTTATTGTTTATTTCGTATTTTGTGTATTGATACAAAAAACTTATGTGATGTGATATATTACCAAGTAAATCCCAGAAGAGCAAGACACCTTGAGTATATTGCATCTTCAAAACCTTGATTGAACATCAGCTTTTAAAATATGGTTGGTTATTTTTGCAACACTGTATTTAATGAGTATGGGCTATGGTTATGCATTACCATCTGGCATATTCCTCCAGCTGCAAGGCCAGAGTGCTACCACTCCTGTCCTTGTAATAGTACCTCCTGCTTCCACTTGGCCCTTCCTCTATACCCTTAATCAGTGGTTACAATGCCCATCACTGTCTTCTCCCCATTACCCTGGGACCCCCTCCTCTCCCTTTGTGTGAGTGGCTCATGGCATGAATGAATGTCTTAAAGAGATTTTTTTGTTTATTCTTTGTCTGTTATATGTACATGTAAATACAGGTTTATTGCTGTGTGTTGGGATAAATGCACATATTTTTTGTTTTGTGCACCTGTTGTTTCCATATTTTTTGTAAATATTTTATATTTGCACTCACATGCAAAGAATAACTATTGTATGGTTCAGTTCACCCTGACTTAAACTAAGACTTTATGTTGCACTTGCATGATTGCTAATGCTATGTATTGCAGTTCTGGTAAAAATTTTCTATCTATATGAATACCACTCTGGTCTTAAATTAAGTGTTTTGCATTTCTTAATTGCCCACTGCATCATTTATTTTCTTCTGAAATTGCATTTGGTTGTAAATAGCTTTTTGTGATTATATATATATATATATATATATATATATATATATATATATATATATATATATATATATATATATATATATATATATATATATTTTTTTTTTTTTTTTTTTTTTTTTTTTTTTTTTTTTTCCCATTATACATATATATATTTTTTCCATTATTATTACAAACTACCAAAGAAAGTTGTTACTAGGATGTTTTGCAGATCTACAGTGACTGAAAGCCATCTAAAAAAAATATAGTTATATGGATACCACTTTGTTTACAAGGATACAATCAGTATATAGAACAAAGTTATTGTTTGCTTTATATAATTAGATAGGATTCATTTGTTTAATGAAAGAAAAAGGATGTATGGAGTCATTATGTATAGTTTGTTTTATACTATGTCTGTATTTGGTGATTGTAAGATACACAGTGGTTTTATAATAGTGTAAAGTAAATTTTATTTTATATGAAGCTTGTATTTTTAATTTACTGAGGCTCCCTATTACAGAATAACAGCAAATGTGAGTGTTAAATGCAAATACCAGAGGTGGTATATGTGAAAGGTGATAGTGGACCAATAGCATAGGTTATGATAATTAACTTAAGAGATGTTTTATCACATTAAAAATGTTGCAAAAAGAAGAAATTAAAACCAAATGCTAGAGGGAAAATAAGTGTCACAAATGGGGATCATGTACTGTTGTTCTCCCTTCTTTTATTTTATATTTACTATCATATAAATTGGAAATGCATGATAGTGGCAAGTGTGGTGTATCTTGTGCACTGTCTTATGGCCTTAGAAGGTCAGTTACCAGGTCAGCCTAACTACACCAGTTTACCATAGTCCTTGAATTGTCAAGAAAAGTGATAATTTTTATTAGATATCAGTTCAGAACATTATAATAAAAACGATAATAATGATGATGCTTAGAGTAAGACTAATGATGATATTAATAGAAATGACTTTTTTTTTCTTGTTAAGGTTAGGAGTTTGAAATACAGGAGGTATTTAGTAGACTTAGTAATAGAGCCCTTGGTGACTAAGTAACTGTGCAGCCATGAGTAAGTAAACAAAATGAATATTACTGATTGGTAGAATTGCTTTCAAGGAACTGAGGACATACATGCATTCACTATCCAAACTTACCTACTCTTTCTCTCTAAAGAAATTAAACAAATCTACATTTTTAAAAATCTTTATTGTTTTTCTCTTTACAGCCTGAGTCAGGGAATAGATATAAGTTTAATATTCCCAAAGCTTCAATTTTTTACAACTATAGTTCTCTCTCTTATAATTTATATGCAGGTGTGATCTTATATTTCACAATTCAATTGCTTACAGCAATTATGGGAAATTCTCTAACAAGTTACTAGCAGCAGATGGCATGAAATATTTTTACTATAAATCA